GTGACCAAATAACATTAAAACAGATTAAATTAAGTGTCAAAAATCACTTATTTAATTGGAATCATGACATCATTCTGTCTTAGTTTCATTCCTATGTGCGACCTCATGATGACATCATAGTCCTGCTGAACGCTGAGCTCTGCTGAAGGATCAGGAGGTTTTACCAGCGTATGTCTCTGACTGGACGACACACTCCTGGCCCCACATTCCTATGGCTTGTCATCTGTATCAGAATAACACAGTGGAATGAAAAGGAAAATCAGCTCATCTGCATCAAGGCATAAGACAGAGTCACTAAAAGAATTGCTGCGTTTCCCTCTTCTTATAATTCTCCCGAATTCTTCTCCATCTTTTTCTTTTTAATTTTAATTTTATTGTTAATATTACTTTTGTCTTATTTACTCTTCGTTACATAGGCAGATCCATTTCTATGGTGTTGTCTTTCTGTATCTTGTCCTACTATGTGCTGTCCTATGTAAAATAATTAAATAACACACTTTCTATCTATCTATCTATCTATCTATCTATCTATCTATCTATCTATCTATCTATCTATCTGTCTGTTGTCTATCTATCATCTGTCTGTCTATCTATCTATCATCTGACTATTTCTATCTGTCTATCTATCTATCTATTTGAATTTTTTAAATGACAGTCCCATGTGAACAGTTTTACCAAACTGTAGTTTAGTCAAATTATGCACAAATTGTGGCAATATTAATTATTTAGTTTATGTATTTAGGACACATACATAGTAATATCAAGTCAAATAAGATGCTAATTTTATTCCAAAATGTTTAAAATACAATCTCCATCACAATGACAAATCTCTGTTTCAAACACAATGAACAGTTCGAAACGTAATGGAAATATTCATTACTTTCAGGGATGGGTGGATGGATGGACAGATACATCGATGAATAAATAAATAAATTACAGGAATGAAAGAATAATTAGCTAGTCAATGATATGAATCATTTTCACGGTTTGATTTGAATTGTATTTTTGTACTATAGACATATTTGGACTTGATGCCCACTGTGAAATCTAAAACAAAACCAGCTGAGATTCCCTGAACTAGACAAATCAGAGGCATCCCTAATTCACTTCTAAGTGGAAAAAGTGACATGGGACGCGTCTAATGCCATGCCGGTGACGTAATTGCAACAGAGCGGCGTGACGTCGCAACTGGACGTCGGCTCCGGCCAATCAGCGCTCGCTCCGCGCACGCACAGACGGGAAGAGTTTAAAAAAGATTGTGGAAAAGAAGATGTGGCCCAAACCTTCCCACATGATCGGACAGTTGGACTGGAGGTTCCAGATCTAACGTTATACCGCCATCCTCGCGTCTGAGTCTGTTGAAAAGCGCAATGACAGCGCATTTCAAGAGCGGACCTGCTTTTGGACTGTCTGCGGAGGTCAAGAGTAAGGTAGGCATCTGCTTTGATTGACAGCTGTCAAAGATGCGCGGACAGCACGTGCGCTACTGAAGTTAACACGTTACAGTATCATTTATATCATTTATTTGATCACGGTATCAAATTCTATACCAGGAATTTGTGTATTTTTTTTTAAAGTGTTGACATCATTTCAAATATGTCAACAAGAGGATGGGGATTAATGGGGATCCAAACCAACTAATTTTGTCTGCACCAAAGTAAGCAAAACAAAAGGGGCAAGGAGGAAAATAGGTCTTAAAAGTGTAATCTTTCAAACAGAATTTCAGTAACAAAAAAAAAGAATAAATAAATAAATAAGAGTAGGCTACAAGTTAGTACGTGCGCTAATAACAGACGTTAATAAAGCGCGTTTCCATAGCAACACTTCACCGCTAGACCGCTTTCTGTTTGAATTATTATCAGACGGTAAGTTGACAGAACATGTACGGTTATTTTCACCTTATTAAAGGTTTACATTGCACAAATATGATTATTGTTTCGTTTTAAACGCCTTAAAAATGTGAACGTTTAGCTAACTGTGCTAGAGACGCCGAAAGCAGGCTATAATTCGAGTGTCGACGGTCGAATGGTATAACGTCGTTAAATAATATACATTTCGTCAATAACGTGCAAAAATAAAGTGTGATATGTAGTGACATGGATGGATAACCGTAAACTCGCCTCAGCTTCTGGCTAAACTTTACTAACTTACCAGAACTTTACCAAATATTGTAATTTTTGACACCTAGCACTCATTCCTAATTATGAAGTGTCATGAATGAAGGTGCAAATTGATGTTTAGTTGATTTTAGTCGAATTTGCACATTGTTTTGATGAAGTTGCATCTATAAAATGGCAAAGAACCATGTCAGTCATACTGAAATATTTAATAGCCTCAGTCATAGCTTTTGTCCTTGACGTTATTTTATTGATTCCTCTGTCAAACTTCTACCACATTTACTCCTTACATAGACTTATATTAGTCTTAGTGGTCCACTTTTAAAAATACCTAAAATTTGGGCTTTTTGCCTTGAGCTGTCATTGATATCCCACTTCCTGAGCACCACACATATCTGTATTCTCTGGATTACCAGAAGTCATGCTGCACAATTTCAGGTGGCACACTGGATTTTGCGTGTCATTGGTATTATGTCAGGAGTGTCTTCCTGAGCACTAGGTATGTGGTTTTCGGTCCCCATATAAGGAAGAGTTGTGTTCACTCACAATATCTGAGAAGAGGAGCATGTTGTAAACAGTTTAGAATAAGGAGGAGCATTGTTGGACATCCCACCCTGATGCTGGAAGATCATCTTTGTTCCAGCCAACAGGGAACGTTCACAAAGGTTTTTTTGGCAAGGTTCTCTCAATGTTATGAACAAAAATTTTCCCTGTAACATTAATTCAAAGTTATCTCGTCTTCTATAATGTTCTTAAAATGTTAGCACAAAAACATTATTTATACATTGTTTATGGAACTTTAAAAAAAAAAAAACATTTTAGTTGGACGTTCATCTAAGATGGTTTAGAGAACGTTCAAAAGTTACATTCAAATGATGTCTGCAAAATAATAAAATATAACATTCCCCTTAATGTTGTCTTTAAGTACAAAAAATAAAATAACATTTAAAAAACTGGATGTTTTGATTTGAACTTTCAGAGAACATTCAAAAAAAAAATAACTTAACACAAAATAAAATAACTTAAAGAAAAAAACATAAAATAGCTTAACAAGAGCCTCTGTGGTTCCATGATGAAGAACCTTTAACATCCTTGTAAACCATTCCATTACATAAAAGGTTCTTTATAAGGGGAAAATTCTTTACACTCTTAAAAAATAAAACTTCCAAAAGGGCTTAAAAAAAAGTTTCATAGCAATTCAATAGAAAAACCATTTTGGGTTCCCAAAAGCCTTTCAATCAACAGAACCATTTTATTTTCTTAGTGTGAAGAACATTTTAATAATCTAAAGAATTTGTTCCCACTATAAAGAACATTTTGTCCAGTGGAAAGGTTGATGGAACCATTGATGCCAATAAAGAACCATTATTTTTAAGGGTGTAGAATAGATATTTAAAAAGTTCCTCACACTTAAGAAAAATGATTCTTCTATGGCATCAATGCCAACAACAAAAAAAAAAAAACATTTAATAAATTAATTCATTTAGAACCGGTATTTTTAAGAGTGTAGAATATATTTTTGTTAGCTATATTTTTGTTATACTTGGACTATGACCTGTTCTTTAAAAAAGGTAAGAAAATTACATTAGACTTTTATTTGTCTTTTTATCCTTCATGATGCACCAATGAAAGACCTAGGGTATTTTTGCAATAATGCCATAGAAGAACAATGTTGGGTTCCCAAAAGAACTTCTCAGTGAACAGTTCTTCAAATAATTTTTTTTTTTTTCTTAGTGTGAAGACTATTTTAATAATCGAAAGAACCTTCTTCATTTGTGTAACAAAAAGATTCCACGTATGTTACAGGTTCTTCATGGAATCATTCTTTATTTTTAGGAGTTAGGAATCATATACAACATAACTGCTAAAAATAAATGTCAATGTACAACATGCAGGTATTTCTAGTATAACCAAGGGTATAAAGGAATGTTATCCGGGCAGTCTTTGACAGAATTCCTGCTTGAAAAAAATCCAGTCTTGGCCTGGCCTCTATAGAGTTAGACTGAGGTCTGTTCCAGATCCAGAATGAGAGAAAAACAATAAATCAAGCTCTGTGCAGAATTCCTTGGAAGCTTATGAGTGCTATCGGTCTTGGCGTTCTTTTATCGGACACATTTAGCGTGTGCTAAGTACGTCACTTCACACGAGCAGACAGGAGCGAGAAGAAACGATAGTGAGGAGCTAAAAATCAGAATGGAGGGCATCAGCTGTGGGTGGAGAAGTGACATGGAGGACAGAAAGAGAGAAAAGGCCAACAATAACACTGATTTCAAGTTACAGTGTTTGTTTGGCTTCCACACCAGCGCACCAAACTTGGGAAAAACAGCTCTCTCTCTCTCTTCCTTTTTTCTGTCTTGTTCTTCCTTTATTAGAAATACTTCAGGAGTGAAAGACTGAGATCTATTGCGTTGCTGTTGAGAGTAAATATTTTGCCAACACTGCAATACAATGAAGGAGACAATCATGCAGGAATATAAGGAAGCTTATATTTTATATTCCAATTCTTCTTTTCCTTTACAGCGCAGTCAGCCACAGCCACAATGTTTCATTTTAAGAAATCCATCTGATGAACTGAGACAAAGAGAAACATTATAAATAAGTTATGGAGTTTATTTGGAAGAAACATGCTAGAAAATTGTCATTTTCATCAAGAAAATGTTTTGGATGAAGAGCAGATATGCATGTCTTGTCATTCATCTTTTTGTAAATCAATATTGAGATATTATTTTAAAATGTATACTGTATAAGCTACCATTCAAAAGTTTGGAGCCACTAAGATTTTTTTTTCTTTTGAAAGAGGTTAATACTTCAGAAAACACGCACAATATTAAGCAGCAAAAGTGTTCTCAACACTGATAATAATCGGAAATAATTTATGATATATTTGAGGCCAACGACCTGTTTGAGAACGTCAACCACACTCAGGTCCAGTGCACGCTTATTACACTGGCTGGGATGGTGAGTCACACATTATGCATTTTAATACAGAAATGATAAGGACTAAGTCAAGACTGAAGACTAAGGACTTCTGTATTATTCCTACTTTTTATTTCTAAAGTTCATAGTAAGGAGATTCATATGGGAGTGTTTAACTGTTAGCAGAGAGATTAACATCAAAACATGTGGTATTTGAGCTGGATGATCAGTCGTTTTTCCACAAACCAACAATCTAGTAAACACCAAAAAAGGAATCTCTCTTCTCTTTGTGTGTTCAACGTGTAAGAAGTTACTTGCACGTGTTTGTTTTGTATATGAATAATAACATCCTCTACTTCTATGCCTTAAATTGAAAATGTCTGGTTCCTTTATTATTTACTTTTATTTATCTATCATTATTTTGAAATGCAGGCAAAATCTAAAGGCGTCCATTCTAAATACGACATTGGAGTGAAATATGCAGAGAAACAACAACGCAAATTTGATCCGGAGAAACTAAAGGAGGGACGCAATATTATTGGTCTGCAGGTCAGTAGTTGTTCATCGGTAATAACCTTTTTTCTTTGTATATAAAAATAAATGAATGTTTTTTTTTTTTAATTAAAGCCTTATTCATTGAAAAAAAAAGTAATCAAGAAAATAACATTTTTAACCAAAAAGTATAATGATGCCTGTTACTGCGATTTTATTAAATCAAATCAAATTCAATGGAATCTGTTATATATTAGCATATTAATATTATTTTATATAAGCATTAATGTCTTATTTTTATATTTATTTGATATATTTGTTTATATTTATTTACATTTTATTTTTATGTATATATTATACAGTGTTATATTATATTTTATACTAATGTTTTTTTAAATTATAGACTGCATTTCAAACGTTTTTTTTTTAAGTTATTAATACTTTTTATTCAGCAGTGACACATTAAATTGATCAAAAGTGACGGTAAAGAGATATATAATGTTACAAAAAAATTCCATTTCAAATAAATGCCGTTTTTCTTTAAACTTTCTATTCCTCAAAAATACTGGAAAAAAAGTATCACAAAAATATTAAGCAGCAAAAACCTTTTTCAGTATTGATAATAATAATAATAATAATAATAATAATAATAATAGATCATGTGACACTGAAGACTGGAGTAATGATGCTGAACATTCAGCTTTGATCACAGGAATAAACTACATTTTAATACCTATACAAGTAGAAAACAGTTATTTGAAATTGTAATAATATTTTACAATATTACCTGGTGAGGCTTCTTTCAAAAACATTTAATTATTATTGAACAAAAAAAAGACCCTTAGTGTAACAGTAGTGTATGTATGTTATATAATTTCATTTTTACGTGACGAGTCATTCCTTATCTATAACATCTTCACAGTTATTTTTTTCCTCACTCATTTGCGTTTTCAGATGGGCACCAATAAGTTTGCCAGTCAGAAGGGCATGACATCTTACGGCACACGGCGTCACCTCTATGACCCAAAGACGGGTATGGAGAATCCTCTGGACCAATCAACAATCAGCCTGCAGATGGGCACCAACAAAGGAGCCAGTCAGGTACTCAAAACGCTTTCAGAATTTGTTTTACAATTCCTAGTACTGTTCATATTTCTTTCCCTTTTCCTCCTCCGCAGTCCGGCATGACGGCCCCCGGCACCAAGCGCCAGATCTTCGATAAGAAGCTGGACATGGAGATGTGCGACACCTCTACCGTCTCGCTGCAGATGGGCACCAATAAAGTGGCGTCCCAGACCGGCATGACGGTGTACGGTCTGCCGCGTCAGGTGTACGACAGCAAGTACTGCTCCAGCCCTAATGACTACAACGGCCAGGACTCAGAGATGGATGGATATCAGGATTCTGACTAGGATGAACAGACAGCTGCCAGCACACTGCTTTTTTTTAAAACTCACCTGCACTATTTTTAAATTCCAAAGTCATGTCGACCAGTAGGACCAGCTTCAACTGTTTCCTGACATCACAGCCACCGATCAAAGCTGAGAACCTCAGTGACTGACCGTTCGTAGAAAACAAACTTAGGAGGAATGTCTTTCAAATGTCTTTTACACACAGGCTTTACATGCTTCTCACTTATGTAGTTTTATTATTATTATTATTTCAGTTTTATTTGATTTTATTGCTATTTTTGAGCGTGTCATTTTCCCATCTCCTGCATGGCCCAATTTTCTTATATGAAAAAATAATGCAGATGATAAATGTGGAGGTATTATATTTATGATGCCTCATAGTTACAGTACATATACACTACTAGTTTAGAATCATTTAGATTTCTTGATGTTTTTAAAGGAAGTATCTCATGCTCACCAAAACTGCATTTATTTGGTTAAACATACAGTAAAACAATGAAATATTATTACAATTCAAAAGAACTGTTTTCTGTTTGAATATATTGTAAAATGTAGTTTATTCCTGTGATCAAAGCTGCATTTTCAGCATCATCACTTCAATCTTCAGTGTCACATGATCTTCAGAAATCAGTCTGATATGCTAATTTGCTGCTTAGTTATTATAGGTGCTCAATTGTTTTTAATGGTTCTTATTATTATCATGTTTTTGCTGCTTAATATTTTTATGGAAACTGATACATTTATTTGAGAATTATAAATGTATTTACTGTCACTTTTGATCAATTTAACTAAAAAATTAATTTCTTTAAAAATTGTACCCTACATTTTTGAATGGTAGTGTATTGTTTTAAAAAATAAAAAAAAACTCAACATTGATAAGAATAAGAAATGTTCCTTGAGCAGCAAATCAGCATATTAGAATGATTTCTGAAGGATCATGTGACACTGAAGACTGGAGTAATGATGCTGAACATTCAGCTTTGACCACATTTCATTTTAAAATATATAACAATAGAAAAAAGAGATTTGCAATTGTAATAATATTTCACAATATTACTGTTTACAGTATTTTTTGATCAAATAAATGCAGCCTTGATAAGCAAGAGACTTCCTAAAAAACAAAAAAAGTTTAAAAATATCTCGTTATTCCAAACTTCTGCCCCATAGTGGATTTTCAGTGGATTTGGTCACACCAGCAGCTTTTAATAGGTTTCATGATGCTCTTTTGATTGGATGGAGGAAGAGGAAATCCACGAAAGACGCCCCACTACTGCCAATTTCCTGAAGAAACCCAAGTGAACTTCACTACTGCGTCTAAGAGATTGTATGGATTTTTTTATAGATGCTGTCATTCAGCTATAAGCTTCAAAACAACATTGAAATAGTCAAATAATAATGTCGATTCTGCGTGATTGTTTGAAAGGGTGTAAACCCTGCTCCAGCACACCTGCTTGTACTTCTCAAGTAATTCTGATTAGCTAATTCAGACGTGTTAAATAGAGTTGCAAGAACTTGAAATTGAGTTTGAGTGTCCTGCCCTAAAAGCTGATTCACTGACAGGAACGCTATCGGAGGATGTTGATCCAGGAGCATGTTTATCATGTCCTGCTGGGGTAAACACACTAAGCTTCTTCATTCATCAGAAAACCTGCATGTGGAGTCATTACTAAGAAAATGAGAAAAGTAAAACGAAAGGGAGAGGAAGCTGAAATCTCAAGGTCTTGGTGAATGAAGTGAGAAGTACATGTCTTCTGTTGTGCAGAATAGTATTTCATCAAGCTACTAGAGATTGCCCACAAAGCAGTTTATCTACATTATTTTAATGGAGTATAATTATTGAAAGACATTTTAATAATTAATTAAGCTAGTAAAATGACTGTTTATAGGGAGGATTTTGGGGCAGTCTGGCCAAAAATATTTCAAAACTTTTTTTTTTTGGGGGGGGTTCAGTTTATCCTTTTATTAGAGTGTAGACGGACAAATAGAGAACAAACTACTGTTCGTTTTTTTTTTTCAATACTGTGAAAAAGCGTGAACCAAAACTGCATGACTTAAATTGTAATGGCACCTTTGTTTTTTTTTTAGAAAAATGACTCGCTCCCAATAGCTATATAGAAATTATTTTGTAAACTTAACGAGTGTTACCGCTTTTAGCCTGCCAAACCTGATACTCAATTATGAAAGTGAAATTATGCAAAAATACAACAGGCAAGACCTGCTCACTATTTAGGATGGTTGTGAGTCTACATATAAAATAAGTTTTAATGTGCATAGTTAATATATTTAGCTATTTAAAAAAAAACAACATTTGGACGCGACTAGATCTCACCCTCATGTAAATCAGTTGTTGAAGATATTAGTCCTATTTCATTTCTATATCAGTGTGTGTTAAGGATTGTCATTGTTTTGCATTACCGCTGGAAACAGCTGAACACAAGAACATAAAACGGTGAATTACTTTCGTTTCTCACAGAAGGTGATGCAGCGTGTCCCTCTTGCATTAATGCTTCTAATGTCTTTATTTATAAGGCTTACCAACAAAGGCTGAGCAAGTGAAAAACTAATAAATCACTATTTTCAAATGACTTGTCTTTATTTTCCATGAGTACTGGTTAAAAACTGAATTGTTTATGAACATTTACATTTTAACTGATTCCACAACAGAAACAGACCACAGATTTCCATAAGAGAGAACATGCAGATGTTTTATTGACACTACATGGTCTTATAAACACCTAAATTGTAAAATAACCAAGACAAACTAAAAGATTAGAAACAAATGAAAACAACAAAACACAGCTATTTTGAAATGAATGATGTTCGTTGCATTTTCCTCAGCATTTCTGTAACGATAAACAAAAGGGAAAAGGCTGAATTTTAAATCATCATCATCTCAATGTTGCCCGAACCTCCATCTGTGGCTTTATTCGATCATTCTTTCAGCTTCAATACAAGACTGAACAGTGAATCAGTACAGCAGTTTAAAACAAACAAAAGTCTTCAAGTGTATTTGGTCGTCTGTGACATTTGACCCAGCAAAACTACTGATTGGCTGCTTCACAAGCATCTATCCAATCACTGTACACGTCCACCGGCTCCGAAAGATCTGAGAGAGTGATTAAGGACAAGACCGACGTCACATTAAACAAATAATTCACCCCAAAATTTGCTGAAAATATTAACTGAGAAATGTTAACTAAGAAACGTTGTTTCTAACAAACATGCAGCTTTTCACTTCACAAGACATTAACTGATGGACTGGAGTGGTGTGGATTATTGTGATGTTTTTATCAGCTGTTTGGACTCTGATTCTGACGGCACCCATTCACTGCAGAAGAGTGAGCAAGTAATGTAATCCTACAGTTCTCCAAATCTGTTCCCATGAAGAAACAAACTCATTTACATCTTGAATGGCCTGTGGGTGAGTAAACTGTCAGCAAATTTGTATTTTTGGATGGATTATTCCTTTAATAATATACATCATGCAATAAATACAGATACTCATATCTTATAAATGTATCAAATTTCGAGAAGGATACAAGTTATTGGTGTCTGGAATTCCTCTAGACACACAGTACAGGATATTATCCCAGTATTTCGACTTCGTTCCCTGGAATAAAGTAGAATTTTTGTGCATTAGTGATAGTTTTGTTAGATCTTTCAGTAACACTTAAGGAGTTTTATTACATCTTACATCTTGACGTCACATGATTTCTCGTGGTTACAGAAGGGGCAGGTAAACTGGGTGTCCAGATTTCCGGTCATCTTTTTCTTGGGAGGGGGTTTTCTCTTCGACTTTCTGCGTCCCATCTTTTGCTTCCTGGAGCAAAATTAGATGAAATATACTTTAAAGCAATCTTTGAACATTAACTGAAGGAGCCGCTTGTGTCAAATATACAGAAGCAACAGGCTTTTGCAGCCATGAGGTTTGCAACATAAACACACAGACTTCTATATAATAACATTTAGCATCTAAAAATAATGTAAAATGAATGGACATTCTTTCTAACAACAGCTTAAACCACTTTGATTGTGCATTTTGTCTTAAAACTGAAACGACAATAATACAAATGTATACAATAATACAAATTTATATTTAAACTGGTGAATATCTAGCTGGCATGTTTCTAATTTTTATTTAGTTTTAACATTATGATATTTAGAGGCGCTCTAAAATCTTAAGAGGCAACATAAACACAGAAAATCAAATAAACACAATCAGTAAAATGGAAATACAATGTAAACCATATGGCCAAAACACTCACGATAAATATACAAGCATTTAAACATTTAAGAAAGACATTATGCTTTCTGGGGAAAACAAATCTCTTACCAAACTGCGATTAATGTGAGGCGACTCTCAAGGAAAACGAGCACACAGCGCCTACAAAGAATAAACAGAAGATGTACTTCCGCTCGGTCAAATGTCCCTGCAGTTTAAAAGCGGAGCGCCCTCTAACGGTGAACACCAGAACCACAACAGAGTTCAAAACTGAGTTCCTTTGGTGAGAGAAGAAAACGTACAATTTCAGTGAATATTCATTGTGTGCATTCTGTGCGCATAATTTTCTTTCAAACAATTCTCCTTTTTATGCTCTTATAAACGCTTGGTTTAAATAGCCTAAGTTCCTTTGGTTTCAATGAGGATCAGCTCTGACCCCTACCGTTAAACATCAGAACTGCAATATTATCTAATAATTTCATTGGGTGAGTATGAACAAACTATAATTTAACTGTTTTAAGAAAATAAATAAGTCTATATCGTTTTCAGAAGCACTTATTATACGCCCATAAACAAGCAAACCAAATAACTTACGTTAACATTATGTACATATTGCGCTGCACTGCATTTTAATACTGTGTTGTATTTTAATGTTTGTTTGTTTGTTTGTTTGTTTGTTTGTTTGTTTGTTTTGTACTGCATTTTATATCATGAATTTGATGTTAGGAGCACTAAACCATATTCCGTTCAAATCTCGACACATTAACAAATATGTTCTGTGTGTGTGTGTGTGTGTGTGTGTGTGTGAGTGGATAAACACTGTTATTTATCTGTGTTTTTTCACTTTTATTTTCTCACTTTATATCTTCTATCCCTCACCCACTTTGTTTTCTGTGCTATTGGCCGGGCCATGTGCAAATCCCAATCATTCAACAGTTGTGGAGAGTAGATTGTATTAACCTCAATAATGGTAGTCTCTTTCCGTTTCTTTCTCACCCTCAATCCAGATGATGGCTCCAAACCCACATCAACCATGGAGACACATGTTGTCCCAGAAGGTGAGGGTAAGTTTGGACCCCATGCAAAAATAAGCAACACAACAACAACATACGAGTCTTGCATTTATGGATATGACTGATATACAAGTGCAAATCAATCTTATGTTGTATTTTAAACAGAGATTACAGCTCCAACGTTGTGGATTAAGCAGCTGGGGTCCAAACAGAACAGTTCAAACAGTAGGAAGTCAGGTGAGAATCTCTATCTACCATCCATCTGTCTGTTTGTCTATCTGTCTATCTATCTATGGCTATCGTCCATTGGTAAATTTAATGTTCTGATATATCAAAATCAGTTGTCTCACAACAGACATGCCTGTCTACTGCTGATTTGATTTATTATACTTACAAATGGAAAGAAGATCCCTTAAGTCTATTTCCTTCGTAGAGCAGCAATGACCTGAAACATATTTTCGAGCAGAGCTTTGTTGACACATATAAGTCTGCTGGCTAACCTACATAACACTACAGAAATATTTCAAAGCATCGCCATTGCAGCATCCAAGTCGGTGCATTCAGGCGCACTTGATTGTGCAATAGCTCTGTTCCAGTTTTAGATTTAATATTCAGCATGTCCAGGGACGAGAAACCTAACACCAGTAGAATTACGGCGCCCCTCTTTCTCTGTTTGTCTCAACTCTCCTCTGTGTAATTTGTTTAGCTTTCTGTGTCTCCTTTACAATTTCCTTCAAATGAGTCGAGCACCCTCTGGGCATGCTCAGTCAACTCCGTCAAGCTCTGTGAGGTTTTTGGGCAGTGCGGTTGAGAGGTAGAGGGATCTGAATTTTTGTAGCACAAGAAGAGAGCACATTTCATGACTGAGGGGAGAGAGATGTGTGTGTGTTGTGTACATAGTGTGTGTATGAGCAGTTCCAGTGGTGTTCCTTTGTGTACTTATTGCCTGTGTGACCTATAATTGGTAGACATTGAAAAATAATCGATTTATTCCACCAGAAAAAAATTTGACAAAAAATGTTCTGTGCTGAAGGAAACACTTACCTTGAGCAGACAAGTTGTATATCTACTCTGACAAGTCTTTGGAACGCTTCTCCTCCTGTGACCAATTAGCATCTGTTGCACATCAACACTCTTCAACAAGAATAGCAGATCCACAGTCATCACAAGGGTGCTTTTGCTGAAGAAGTGACGGAGTTGGCGTCGGGCTCCAACGTTGCTGCTCTTGGGAGTGTGTGTGTGGGATCTGTAGTAAATTGAAACACTGAGATGTTGCTTTTGCTGCTAAAGTAAATCTCGGAGAAAGCCAAGTTTCCATCTCTCAGTGCATTGTGGGTGGTACGCATCAGTTAGGTCTTTCACACATCAACTCGTGATGTTATAAATGTGAACGTGCTCATCTAAGGTGAGGTAAATGGTGTGTTTCTATGGTAATTGTGGTTGTGGTCTCCATTAAACAGAACAAGCATAATTATCATAGTGTTCCCTCAGATTTGGGGGTGGTGGTATTAAGGGTTTGAACTAGCTACTGTACAAAAATGTCTCTGTGGCTTCAAATGCAGGTAACACTTGGCAAAAACAGATCTGTAGAGTTACAGAGACACCACAGGGCGCTTTAAAAAGACTTTAAGGGTGCTGTCACATCTGGCCCGTTGATATGGAACCTGCTGCGTTTCCCCCCTTAGCTCGGTTCGTTTGGGCATATGTGAACACGGCAATCACTCTCGGATCCGCGCCAAAACAATCGGTCTGAGATCGCCTGAACGAGGTGGTCCCGGTGTGTGTGTGTGTGTGTGTGTGTGTGTGTGTGTGTGTGTGTGTGTGTGAGTGTGAGTGTGAGAGTGTGAGTGTGTGTGAGTGTGTGAGTGTGTGTGTACACATTTTCCTTGGCAACTAACTAACTGAAATAAGTTTAAGTTCAAGTACTAAAATAAATTACCAAAATTGAAATAAACTAAATAAAACATTTTAAAAACTAATAAAAATGGCAAAAGCACATATCAAAATGCAAAATGACTAAAACTTTAAAATGAAAACCTAAAATATAAAAAATAAAAGCTGATTCATAATATTAATAAATACTATCCTAGTATATACAAAATACTAAATAGATTGGGTGTTATAACAGATTCGGTGTTATAAAAGATATTCTATATGTAGTACTGGTTTAACGTTACTTATTTGCCAGAGTTAATTAGTGACAATTTTGGACGGACTTTAGAAAGACAAGCAGCTCCTTGCATCGTGATTGGGTGACAGACGTCCATGCATTTGAATAATCGAGTGTGATTGGGTGGTGTGATCACGGGGGCGGGACTAACACAGTGCGATATTTAGCAACTACAGGAGCAACAGAAATTTTGTGCGGAAGATAAGCACCAGTTTTTTTCGAAAGTGACCGTAGAAAGAACTGCATAAAGAGACTCATAAACTCGGGTACGTATTTTCTATAGACCGGCATAGTTCACTCTGAGAAGGAAATCGCTTCAGTGTGATTGCTTGCGTAAGTAACAGAAATTGCGTGAACGACTATCACGGAAGCCTTGAAACGTGCTGTTGTCATTTCTTATTAACGGGACAAAAAGTAAACTGATGCAAATTATATTAGCGGATCCAAAAGCATAACCGATCAGGATCATCGGTAAGGTTTGTAGGCGCAAGAACTAGAGCCTCTGTTTAGCAATAGTATGTTGTTCTCGACAATCAGACCATACACAAAACTCTTACCTGTACTGACACGCTTTAAATGCATGTGCACGCATAATGGCATAATGCATGTTATTATTTGTGAAATGCTATGCATTAACGTTAAAGTTTTAGATTTAGCTGAGACTGTGAATCTTTATTCTGATGCAGATTTTTTGTGATCTCTTCTTTTTTTAAATATGTTGATTATTTATTACTTTTTTTTATTAATATTATTCACTTTCAGAAGTTAATTATGGCTACAGAGGGAGACCCAACTGACTGTGAAAGTGCTTCACCTTCTGGTCATTTCCTTCACCTGGGGAATGCAGGTGTGGGTGTCTTTCATAGCAGGTAAATTAATATGGTGTTATGATAATTATGTCATCATATAACATTCCATATACTTCTAATTCCTCTTTATATTTTCAGGTTTTGTGCTGATTTCCCAGGTATCCATGCACACATTCGGTCTTGTGCAAAGCAAGTTATTCCCATTTTATTTCTACTGTCTGCTGGGTGCTGATGCAGTCAATCTGGCCATATATGCTGTGTACCACCCTAGAGAACTGCTGGACTGGCATGAGGGCATACAGGTGACCAATCAATATCAAACACCTATGTATGTTGAGTTTCAATTAAAAAATAAATACAGTTTACTCTAAGTAGCCTGCTCTGAAAGAGTTGTTACAAGATATCTAGTAACAAGCATTGTGAATGGTTTTTATTTGCATTTACTTCTTTATTACCAAAGTTACAAACAAACCTGAATGCTGCCCACCCCGCCCCTCACGCCCACACGCGCGCACACACACACACACACACACACACACACACACACACACACGCATTCACTCACGGTCTCGCACACACATAGACACCGAACGAGTTTGTTACATACGAGGAGGAAGCGAGGAGGAAGTCCCGGTGGCTTTACCGGAGCACAAGATAAAGCACCGAGAATCCGTGTGAAGGTAAGATCTTCATCCAATTGAGTCTGCTTTTGAGAGTCATTTTGACCCCCATATACACCTTTCTTTCTCTGTCTCCGGATGGGACAAGCTTTATAACTTTGGGTCATGCTGCAAGACATGCACTGTTAACATTTTGTTCATCAAGCCATCGCGATTATGACCTATTTGTTCTTTAAAATAGTTTAGAACGCCAAAGAGTGAAGATTCGAATTCGGTCGAGATTTAGGTTGAGAACTGAACAGTTGCAAAAAAGTACCGTTGTACAATTCTCGGTACATTTACAATGGCTCTACCTCGGTATTCTTCCACGGTATTGTTCTTTGGAATACCATTTAAATACCATGATACACTTCAAAGTAGTATCTGATACTGTACCATGATAAATTTTTTTGTTAGGAAGAAAGCTCTTGGTTTCCGTTTTCATGTATTTGTTGTTGTATGGTAAACCTCCTCCATGCATGGATTAAACAACACGTTATTTAATTGCATTCTTTGGATGTTATTCATTTTATGAAATGTACTGTGTGATCGTCATCTTTGAATCAGTCTGCAGCACAGTTGTGGACATCTGCCAGACGATCAATAGACAGATCAGTGCCATGGTAACCAGAGACCCTGGCCCTCAAAAACACCATTTGGCCCTCTGGTGTAAGTGATGAAGTCAGGTGTCACAGATCACTGGTCTATATAGCACGCCTGAGGAGGACATTCAAAACAACTGAGGGGAATATTGGTCATGTAGGTTGTTGAGACATCTGATATTCTAAATCTGATCATTTCAATGTTCAGTGTTAAAAATATGTATGCTTTGAAGCACTTACAATGGGATTCTATGAGGCAAGATCATGTAAATGAATAGTCAAAACGCATAAAGTTTTCTGTTTTTAGTTAAAAGTTTATTCTTGTAAATTTAAGGTGAGACTAAACTAAACTTCAACTAAAAAATAAAAAAAAATACTTTTACGTTTACGTTTTCGCAATACTTTTAAACACCAACAATGTTTTGGGGGCCTGAAAACGTAAACTTTTGAAAACGGGTTTCAAAAGTTTTGAAAATGATACTGTTATCGTCTCAGTATTAACTGAGACATCGCCAACTACTGGTCTGGCATGCATAATACAGCGTTTTAAGGCGTTTTCTTGGATCCATGTGAACGAAAATCATTTTGACGTATTATTCACAATTGTTCTTAAATTCATAAAGCTTCTTGCTTAATTGAAGGTGGTGGCGTTGAAGTTAATGTTTTAGTAGTTATATGTAGTTGGTGTGAAATATTAAGCTCTGATTCTATGCAGATTAAAGTAATGTTAATGGAGGGGAAGGAAAGGGGTTCCATACAGTCCATAGCAATATTGATTTGTGTCTCTCATGGGACAAGTGGGATGGGATTTGGTGTTCTTACTAATGGACAGAGAGCTGTGCTGAGTGCCGTTTGGTATAAAACCATTAAATTGAGCGGTAAAATGAATGGCGAGCATAGATCTGCCATGTAAGGTCTGTTTTATGGTGTTGTTTTAGGGTTTCATCCAGACACGCATTTGAACTGGAGAAATGATTATAAATGAAACAGCAAAGTAGTTTGGGAGATTTGGGCCAGCTGTGTAATCTGGCTTGTCTTGTTATTGAAGATCATGGAATAAAATCCACTTTCATTGACATCTTTGGCTTTGGTTTTAGTGTTAGAAGGCCTCATGCAGCCAGTGCACATGCTCAGCATGTGACAAGATTTTATAGGGAGCTTAGATCCTTAGAGAAAGTATAGTTTTACTCAATTTTAATGTTTCATTTGAATAATAAGGCGGTAACAGCAAGTGAAAACATTGTTTAAAATTGAAAAGTTGTTTATACATGCATATAATTGTATGAAAGTAAAAGAGACGATTCTGTTGTGTTTTTTGCAATTTAGCCTAATTATTGTTTGCCAAATTAGGCTACTTTAAGTGATAGTTCACAAGAAATATCCAGAATGTTGTTGGTTTTGTTATATAGACTACATTTATGATGCTTTTATGATGCTGTTATGCTCACCAAGGCTGCAGTTATTTCATGAAAAATGCAGTAAAATCAGTAATATTGTGAAATATTATTACAATTTCAAATAACTGTTTTCCATTTGAATATATATTTAAAATGTAATTTATTCCTGTGATGTAAAGCTGAATTTTCAGCATCATTACTCCAGTTGTTAGTGTCACATGATCCTTCAGAAATCATTCTTATATGATGATTTGCTGCTCAAGAAACAATTATTATTATTATCAATGATGAAAACAGTTGTGCTGCTTAATATTTTTCCAGAAACTGATACGTTTCCTCAAGATCCTTTCTTAGAAAGTTAAAAAAGAACAGCAGATATTTGAAATAGATTTTTTTGTAACATTATAAATGTCTTTATTGTCACTTTCAATCAGTTTAATGCATCCTTGCTGAATAAAAGTATTAAAATAAGAAACTATGAGTAAACATTTAACTTTTAACACATTCTGGGCTTGTTTTAATTAGAGCAATTTTTCTCTTAAAATAGGAAGATGTTTCATAACCTCTTAAGTGTTTCTTGTTGTCTTGCCCAATGATTTTGCAACCTTACCCTACACTGTAAACCTGACCGTTAGGATTAACCGCCAGTTACAAGCTTCTCCAAGCAGTGAGCACATGATCATCAGAACCAGAGTGTCTCTCCATGTGCCACTTACACAGGTCCTTCAGCCCCCTCCAACTCACAGACTTACTGTTCTAAATTATATTGCCATTGAGTTCAAAAAGATACTACCTAACAAGAGCTCTCATGTGCTCGAGACAATAGCTTGCTGTGGGCAGTCACTCTCTTTGTAGTAACATCTCCACCTCTGGAGAGGAGTGGTGTTTGGAGCGCTCCACTCGCCTTTTAATGGGTCTGCGTGCTTTGTTTTGTGGGCCTGTCGCCATGGAGACCCTCTCCATCAGGCCCGTGAGGGTCTGATTGATCAGCTGGACGGTGGAGGGGTTTTGTTTCCATTCCCTAGAGTTCGCCTGTTAGTTTGAGCTCTTCTGTCGGTGGATATGGCCGGTTCTGAAGGTTGTGCTCCGAGGGTAATCAGAGATGTGTTTTCAGACCAGAACATGTGATGTCAACATGAAGCGGTGTTCGCAAACCTATTTTACTTCCGTAATGTGACGTATTTCAGAGTGAAACAGGATATTTGATGAGAAAACAATGTTACATGGGACTGTTTTTTTACATGTGTTAAGAAAGGGCCAGTTTTGTTTATATGTTGACTTTAAATGAGAAACCAAAGATATTTGGAGGTAGTTCAGTAAAATTTCATATAGTTTTATGCATTTAAGTGTATCTAAATAAAAATTTTAGGACATAAAATAAGCAGAATTGGTTTGATTTTTCAATCTTACCAAGTGGCTTTTGTCTTGATTTTGAAATGAAACGTGAAATACTCGTTTTCTCTGTTTCAGATGGCATCAGTGACCGACTCGCGTCTCCAGCCGTCACAGAAAGACGCGGCTGACCAAAACTTCGACTACATGTTCAAACTTCTCATCATCGGCAACAGCAGCGTCGGTAAAACCAGCTTCCTGTTTCGCTACGCGGACGATTCCTTCACTTCAGCCTTCGTCAGCACGGTGGGAATCGACTTTAAGGTCAAAACCGTTTTTCGCAACAACAAAAGGATCAAACTGCAAATTTGGGTAAGTTTGATTGTCACCTGATCAGTCTGATGTCTTAAACTAATAGGAGAATCTATTTTTAAACTATTTTAATGCAATCTAATCTCATCTATTCAAGTATTTTATTAATTATGTTTTAATAATAACACTACCATTCAAAAGTTTTGGGCCAGCAAGTTTAATATTTTTTTAAGTCTCTTATGGTCAAGTCTTCATTTGTTCAACACAGTAAAAACAAAGATACAGTAAAAACAGTAATATTGTGAAATGTTATTACAATTTAAAATAACTGTTTTCTATTTGAATATATTGTAAAATGTAATTTATTCCTGTGATCAAAGCTGAATTTTCAGCATCATTACTCCAGTCTTCAGTGTCACAGGATCCTTCAGAAATCATTCTAATATGATGATTTTCTGCTCAAGAAACATTTCTGATTATTATCAGTGTTGAAAACAGTTGTGCTGCTTAATAGTTTAGAATATTTATTTTCAGGAGTCTTTGATGAGTAGAGAGTTCAAAAGAACCATATTGATTTAAAACTTTAAATCAATTAAAAAATCAATCAATTAAAATTGATTTAAAAAGTTTTCTTATAATATTAAAATGAAATTTTTAATTTAAAAATTGTGTCATACCACAGGACTATTTAAAATTAACTAGCGAAGCATAAACGCTGATTAAAAATGGTGAAAAGCATAAAAATAGTGAGCACTATCACACCTTTGCAACCTAAAATATTGATGTTGATTAAAAAATGAGCATATTACATGTCAACTAACCACATCTCTGTTTCTTTTTGTGGACTTAGGCTGGGTTAGAGATGATCAATTTTGTTCTTTTCCAGTGAAAAGATTTTCTAGGTTTTTGCGGTTAT